AAAAAAAAAAAAAAAAAAGGCGGTCTTCTGGTCCTCTCCCAAGAAGAATGAGTCATATCTGCTCTCTTTAACCCTAAACAGTGATGAGGAATTACTTGAATCACAAAACTCAAACATGAAAGGAATTTATATTACATCATCCAGCCCATTTCCTGCCAACGYCTCACAATTCTGTATTTTGGCCGGACTATTTATCAGCAAGGTAATCATTACATCCCTTGTGAAGCTGTTTACATGATTAAAAGATTTTATTGTCAGGATATCTTCCCAAGCATTTAAATTAGATGCACTTTTTCTTCATCCCTTCTCTTCACACAACTTTTCTCCACACAGATATTATTTTTTTTCCTGTTACTGAATGCAGTCAGGTAAGCACCGATATGGAGATTGCCAGTGAGTTTTACAAAGGAGATTACAGAAGGTATAATACTCCATAAGGAAAATATTTCCTGTCTTATATTCCAAGAGGCCAGAAGGCAATGGACTTGAGAGAAAAAAAAATAAAATATATATATATATTCAGTTTGCAGGACTTGTGTCAGCCTCCAGACAGTTTGTTTTGTGTATTATTTAAAATGCCAGGATGAGTTTGATAGCAGGAGATTACCTCAACAGAAGGAGAGGTTTGGGGAGGAAGGGAGAGGTCGCACAATGACTATATTTCAAGTGAAATTTCAGAAAGCAAGTTTACAGTAAGCTCAGTATTTAGTGGTATATGCTTCAGAATTTCTTCCAATTCCTGGATCTTTCCTGTAATTTCTTAAGGCTGAAATGAGAGCTTGAGAAAATAAGCAATAATTTCGATCACCTCAAGGGATCAGAGCATCTTCCCAAGAGAACTCTGGAGCCAAGGCATAAAGATGACCAAAGGAGTCTTGCTGAGTCTGTCTTTCTCTTCCACTTCATCCATGTTTGGACCTGCTTGAACTTCAATCTGTGACCAACTCCTTGTTCAATTTTTAACCAAACACTCCACTGTCCTCTATATTTCCTAGATACCATGATTTATTTCGCTTTTCTCTTAACTCTTTCCACTCTGTCAACAATGTTTTTCTTCCTGAATGCAGACATAAAAACACTGAGTAGGATGCCGTTTGGTAAAGGATGTCCCAAGAAATCTTCCCCTCCTGCACCATTAAAAGCCTTTCAGCTACACAACTTCAACTATTCTGTGTACTGCTCAGCTTCTACAGAGTAACCCACTAGAAGTCATTTTACTAAATTTCCTTGAACCTTTCTGTGTGCAATTAGTTCATGGATTCTTCCCATCACTTGAATATGTGAAGGTATTTTTGCACAGGCTGCACTCACCAAAATGAAGCATTTTCTACAGAAGGATGCAACTGGGTTAGAAGCAGAACATCTCATTGGTCCTGTCAAGTACAGAGTGGAAATATTTTACTATTTGCCTGAAGAGAGGCTTCAGAAAGAAGGAACAGGATGTGGAGGACTAGGGTTAAGGCTGCCAAATTCACCTAATCTTAAACATGAGGAAGATGTTTAAAACAGTTTCTCCTCACTACCTTGGTTCCATCCCAAATTCTGTTTTTGCTTTCAAGCCAAGCCATGCACCTCCAAAGCACCAGGAACACTGAACTCTTTGGTGTTCCAAAATGGAAAATGGTCTTTTCCATTTCATATGGCAGACCTCAAATACTTTCTGATTTTCTTCCCTGGCCCTTAGCAGAAAAGTCTTTTATTTAAGGTCTTCCTCCATCCTCYTGTTTAAGCATTTAAATATACTTTGAGTTTGAATAATAACATAACATTTCTATTGCCACAGCCTTACCAGTCACTAAGCCAATGAGCATACTCAGTTGAGGAGGTGTTTTCATGGTCAGGTACAAGCAGGAAAAATAAACCGAAAACCAAAATGCTTTTCAGGAGCACTACTTAAATACTTAAGCTCTTGAGACGGGGTTTCTTTGTTCAGAGGTTGACAAAGCAGGGCACTGAAGAGACCGTGGCCAGTGCTATCATGGTACAAATTAAAATAAATAAATAAAATGGTCAAACTCCTCACAGCTTGGGATGAAGAATTTCCTTTCCTAACTCCCCACATCAAGACACTGATGAAGGAAGAAAAAAAAAAAACCCACACACAAAATGAAATAAAACACAAAATGAAGGGCAATATGAGACCCACAGGAACCAAGCAAAGATCTGTGAACCTCCTAAACAACCGCCAGAAAAGATGAAGCAACACAGGAAGCTCCCTGTTGTCCCCGTCTCCGCCAGGCAGTCATGCCGAGGGGAGTGCACGCAGCCTGCAGTGCCTCGCCGGATACTCCCCACCAGCGAGCAAGTCACTGCTCGAGGCAATAGGCTGGCAGCTGAAAGGGACCCAACAACATCACAGAATCACTGAATCACAGAATGGCTGAGGTTGGAAGGGACCTCTAGAGCTCATCTAGACCAACCCCCTGCTCCAGCAGGGACACCCAGGCACGGGGCACAGGGCGGCATCCAGGCGGGTTGGGAAGATCTCCAGGGAAGGAGACTCCACAGCCTCCCTGGGCAGCCTGTGCCAGGGCTCTGTCACTCTCACAGTGAGGAAGTTCCTCCTCACATGGAGATGGAACTGCCTGTGTTGCAGTTTGCACCCATTACCCCTTGTCCTGTCACTGGCCACCACTGAGAAGAACGTGGCCCCTTCCTCCCTACATTCCTCCTTCGTGTACTTAGACATGTTAATCAGCCCCCCTCTCAGCCTTCTCCAGAGAAAACAGGCCCAGCTCACTCAACATTTTAACTTCAGCTGGACCCAAACCCCGAGGACTGTGATAAAGCTGTTAGCAGCAGTTGCCACGCACACCCCCTACCTCAGACTCCAGACTCATGTGCCCACGTGCAGGATCTCAGGTCGGGCTCAGTGAACGCGCAATGGAAAGCCAGCCACAGGATTGAAGTGCTGAGGGGAGAGCCACTTGTGATTGGTAATGCTCGCATTGGTGCTGGCATTAGTAAGGAGACAGCAGCCTAGGCTGGTTTAAGGACTGCATCCCTAGAAGCTCTTTCAAAGCAGGCATCAAGGCAACATCCGAGCTCACTTTCCGTAGCAGAAGAGGTGCAGCAGCTCCAGCATCCCGACCCAGTTCTAGTGAGTACAATTACCTCCTGCTTACGTAAACTCTCCTTGTCTCTTCCCTTCAGCAGAGCTAGGCACGACATTCCTCCTTGCTCTGTTTCAAATCAGGGAACAAAATTATTATATGCAGCTGCCAAATTCTGCCCCAGATGTGCCAGCGTTCAGCAGCAACGCGAGCACATTTTAGATACTGTTTCTAATATGTTTTGACATGAAAAGCACCACAGCAATACAACACAGGCCTTAGCTATATATAAACCCAACTGGCACAGTTAGAACGGAGTAACTTTCTGCAAGCAGAGCAGCTACTCCACGTGAGTTTGTCCGTATGCAGAAGCCCTGTCAGTAGAGCTGTACCAGCCAAGCTCTGTATCGCAGTTATGCCACAGACCCTCAGAGCTGTTTGCCACAGCCCGGGAAGTGCAGCAAGGCAATCTCGGCTCRCTGCGCTTTGGGCAGGCCCTCATGCTACAGAGAAAAACAGCCTTTTGTTGACAGACCTGAAGGACGGAAGAGACCTCAGAAAACTGGCTCTGTTCACCAGATTTGGGGATCTTCTCGGTTAACAACATGGCAAAACCAACACGCCCTCTACTCTCCCTTTACAGGTCAGGCTTCATTCTTGCCAGCAGATCAGCACTGCAGAAAGGAAAGGACACCCTACGATTCCTATAACTGCACGAGACACCCCAAAAATACATATCTTAAATTCCTGAGGACAGTCTCAGAGAGCAATCCGGCTTCTTTCGTGGCCCCACGGTAGCAACACTGGGAGCAGGAGAAGCCTTCACCTTCTGAGGCAACCATCCACCACAGCGATGCGGCCGCACGCGCTCCCCAGCCCTGTCCCCACCAGAAGCTCAGCTAAGACACACTCTGGCAGGGCAGGCCAGGAAAGGGGCCAGTGCAACAACCCACAGCGCTGAAGAGCCACCAAGTGAGCCCACAACACGGGAACCGAGGGAGAACAGCCCCTGCACGAACCCGCTTCGCCTGCTGGCCACGCACGAGGATGACAGAACCCTTAAGTATTTGGGAGGGGATGCAAGAGAAGCTCTGTACCGTGGGCCAAAGCACTCCCAAACGGCTAAAGGAAGGGCTCAAGCCAACCACGTATCTCTTCTGGCAGGAAGGAGGGAAAATGACAATAATGTGGAACATCTGGGTATGGTTTATCCACTAGAGGGTGTAACAACAGCGCCGTGAAMGGTTCACAGCTACCCATCAAGGGCACTTAGTGCTCAGAGGCGTGAAAGAGAGACAGCAAACACRGGAAGGGAGCAGGGGGTGAGAGAGATGGCTGGTTATACCCACAGAACCTCTGTCCAAGGCTGTTGTGGCCACACAGTGAGGCACCCTGAAAATAAAGTTCAGCTTTGGTACTTCTGCTAAGCAAAACACCATGGTATTAAAGAAAAAAAAATAAAAAACAGTAAGAATATTTACAATAAATAACAGCAGTGGCAATAAGAAAGATGTGGAGACTTAAATTCACCAAGCCAAGCTCCTAACGTGAAAACTGGAAGCAACCTAGTGCAATTGCTCCTCTATGTCATAACCACTTCGTTACCAGGCCAGGGCTGCCGGGCATAATCCCACACGGATTCCTGCCCCGTGCAGGGAAACGGGTGATGCTGGCTCAGGCACTGCCATCCTTACACCCCAGCCCCAGGCTGGCTGCACAGAGCTTCCTTCTCTGCTGCTATCGTGTTAGAGACTCCCAATCAGATTAGCTAAAAGCCTGGAAACCTCATTAGTGAAAGCCAGACCTGAATTTAATTTCTCCTTCAGAGCCAAGAACAAGACATAGGAAGAAGTCCTTATGCCAGATCAAGATGTTATTAAGAGAAAAATAAATAAATAAATATAGGTTTTTGACAATGAAATCCCCTGGGTTAAACTGAAGCTGTTTGTCCACTAAGAAAGTTCCATGAAGCAAAAACTCTCATTTCACACTCTGGCCACTTAAATAACCTCCCAGGCAAATCTTCGCTGATTTGCAGCTGAATAGCTCTAGATTTTCAATTCAGAAGAATTATTAAGCGATGGGAAAGAAGAAACCTGTGAAGCTGCACACACTGCTAGTCACCAAAATGGTTTACCAAGAAGATCCAAAATCCCCCCTAAACGGGTATAACGCAGGGCAAAGCAGCCCTGCCCAGGGAACAGAGGATGCCCCCCAGAACAGACACRAGTCACTTACCAGAACTGCTCTAAGGGGGGCGGTGCAGCTGTAAAATAGGCAGAATATATTTTAAAAGACGTCCAAGGGGGCATTTTCAGGAAGAGAGGTTCTTCATAGTGTCAGTATTGAACTATGCTACTTTCACCTTAGCTAGTCCTGAGGCTAAAGGCAGGAGTGACTGACCCTACAGAGCAGCACGTGAACTGCCACGGAGGGGTGAACCCTGCGGGCGGAACCGACCCGGCACCTTCCCCRAACGGCCTGTGGGATCCGTGAGTGCCCGTGCCCCTCAAACAGGSCGGGCACGCTTCCCCCAGCCTGGAGAGCGCAGGGGCAGAGCTGCCAGGACAGGCCAGTGCCCAGCGGGGCTCTGCGCTGCCCAGCAGCGCCGCGCACCCGAGCAGACAAAGCGAGTAATTCCCTCCCRTAGCGCCCTTCCGACGCACACTGCGAGCGCCAAAGCCTTGAGCTCTTCGGTCGCCGATGCAGCACCGTGGAAGCAACAACATCTCCCCCTTTGCTACGTACAGGCAATTCCCATCAAGGCAGAAYGAAAAGCACTTTCTTTGTACAGCAGCACCTGAGAGAGCTAAAGAGCTTCATTTTGGTTTTGCTAGTTGTTCATTGCTGGAACACACTGTGATATTGATTGTCTGTGTATATTAATTTCCCGTTATTTCTGTTCACGCTTTGCAATAACAGTACAGAATCCTGAAAAAATGTAACTTCATTCTAAGAAGGGGCATTTTGCGTGTGACAGCCATATCATAATCCATGACATTTCACTTGTTCCAAAGCATCTCTTCCTTCCTTGGTGCAGGTTCATTGTCTGGGATTTCTCTGTTGTTTGCTCAGAGGCAAAGGAAAGCTTAGAGCAATGCAATAAACACTGCAATTCTGACTGCTTTAGAACATCTTGCATTCGAGCAAGGGGCAGGTGCCCTGATGGACTTGAAAGGAAGGCAAGACAAGTTCATAAATACTAGAAACAACCCAGTGGGACATGTTATTCCCCGCTCCGACAGCAGAGCAGACTCACAAACACTCAGTGTTGTTTTCCTCCCCAGATGCTAGAATGACAGCAATAACAATAAAACAGGGCCAAGAGTGCGCTGGCACTGACCCTCTACATTCATTAAGGCTGAGAAGATAGACTAGGAGCTTAAAAGAGGGATTTTAAGTTACAAGATTTCGAAGAATAAAGAATTTCCTGAGCCCCTGGTAACATGGATCATGTTTAACCCCCTACCAGGCAAGTTGCCACACACTGCTGGGCGCCTTAAGGAGCATTCAATTTTCCACAGATCTCCGCAAGCATTCCACAATAGAACAAAACAATTTCTATTCCGTAACAAACAAGAGGAGCAGGAAGCTCTCGGACAAAACGGCCATATGTGTACAGACACACACACAGACAAACTAATTTACTGCAATCAGGCTCTTACTTGATTGTCTCTTGCTGGGTATCCATGATAACTTGAAGCCAGAGGCTCGTTCTGCAAGACAAGAACAAAAAACTGAATGTAGTGGGTATGAGGAATGGAAACCAAGGAATTTTAGGGCTGTCTCAACTCAGCTGAAAATAAGAACCTGTGTGAAATGGGGAAAGAACAAGCAGAGATTAAAGTATCCTGCTAACTTCTTATTTTTCATTTGAGTCAAAACAACTAAATAATGCATACAGCCAATCATGCAGAAAAAAGGAAATACCGCAGACCTAAAATAGGCACAACTCTCCGTAATTTCATTTGTGTATAATTTCTGTAATTCTCCAAAGAAGCTTTACATGCAAACCTCATTTACCATCATGTCAACAGAACAAAACACGACGCAAAACTACAGAAACCGCTGCCCATGTCAGAGTTGAAGAATTAAGTCTCTAACCATTAGCTATGAAAGTGTCAATTTTTTCTTATTCAAAGCTACTGTAGTTCTTTAAGAGGAGTTTGAGAACTTGTTAGCCTGGTAAGCCTGGACAGTATCTCACACATGCCCCATAAGAAATCAATCCTCTAGACTTTCACCCTTCACTGCAGAAAGGACCCTCAACCTATACTGCTCATCCTTGAGACAAATCTGTTGGGCTGTTCTTCAGGAATATTTGACCTTCCAACACTTCTGGAATTTCCTTGTGAAATTCCCAAACTCTTTTCTATTTTAGCAGCATTGTATGGGTTAAATTACTAGGGCAATGAGGCCAGCAGTCCTCCAGGATTCATTTTTAGCCTGCTCCTCTCTGCTATTATGGTTGATGAGGAGGAACTCCTAAGCAAGCCTTGCTTTTTTTCCAGTAACTCATGGCAGGCAGAGAGGTGGAGGGAAAGGGGCAGACCGTGAAAAATAGGGGAAAACTATCCCAAATTATCAAAAGCAACGTCATTCTGGGATTGCAGCTTCTTCAGCTGTATGGTTAACAGCAGCCATATATACACAAAGCTTTTGTAAAACCTTTAGTTGACTCTACAGATGTTTTGTTTTTCATTTTTACTGGTGCTGGATTATTTTTAAAGTGGCCAGCTCCAAATGGAGAGAAGCCTTCTGCCCTACAAAGAACACGAGACCACTGACATAATTTCCCA